AACTAGATTCAAGCTTTGCGAGTCCACCAAGAGTATCCCACAATCTCATGGACACCCCTGTTCTTTATATCAGAGGTTTAATTATCAAAATAATCTTAAAATTAAACAACATTTAAGAAGTTTTTAGCCAAAGCTATTGATTCTGTGGGCATGTCTAAGGGGAAGCCCAGGGTTAGGAGAGCTTGAATTAGTTGACTCTGGGTTTGTTAACTTAGGACTTAAATGTCTACAGGTTGGATTGCACACTGTACCATGAACATAAGGTCTCAGTGGCCATATTTTGGGAATTAGGAAGTCTGAAATATGTGTAGTTGGGCTCGGGCATGTTTAATCAAGCCTCGACAATTAGTGTAATCTATTCGCCTGTGGCACAAGCCGGCACAGACACTTGAGCATCCGGTGGGACCCAGGCCTCGACAATTCCTAAACTGGGGTTACAAAGATGTGGAGACACTTAAAGCCTGGATTAACAAACCTAGGTGTGCTAACTTAAGTTCTACTAACCCTGGGCTTACATTGCAATGTAGACATACCCTAAGGGCTGGGAAGAATTTGACGTTATGTTGAGGCAGAAACCTGCCTAGCGCATGGTACCCCAAGTGCAGTACAGCCTGTGCACTTCTGCTTTGTTGGGAGAGGGAATGCATTATCCTGCCACCACAGAACACAGATACTTGGCAGATTCTCCAGCCCCCCACAGCAGGGGAATTTGGGCATAGGTTTGGCTGCTGCATCCATTGCTACACAGATCCACCTGCCAAGTCACAGACTGCTGTTGCTGCTCCTCAGCCACTTCACATGCTGCCCAGGCTTTCAGGAAAGATGCCATTTCTAACACTTCCTGTCATTTACTCATGTAGCATCTTGGAATCAGAATTGGGCCCTAGTTGTTTATTAGTAAGGCCCTACCAAATTTACAGCCATGAAAAATGTGTCATGGAACTTGAAATCTAGTCTTTTGTGTACTTTTACCACATTTCATGTGGGAGACCAGCAGTTGTCAAACTATGGAGCCTGATCCAAAAGACAGTTGCCAGGTGGGGTCACACAGTTATTTTGGCAGATGACAGAATTGTTGCCCTTACTTCTTGCTGACTTCAGAGGTGGGCAGGTAAATATGTTGGAGGGTAGGGATAGGGTGAAGAGTGACCTAGACAAATTGGAGGATTGAGCCAAAAGAAATACGATGAGGTTCAACAAAGACAAGTACAGAGTCCTGCACTTGGGATAGAAGAATCCCAAACATTGTTACAGGCTGAGGACCGACTGGCTAAGTAGCAGTTTAGCAGAAAAGGACCTGGGGATTGCAGTGGATGAGAAACTGGATATGACTCAACTATGTGCCCTTGTAGCCCAGAAGGCTAATGGAATATTAGGATGCATTACGAGGAACATTTCCAGCAGATCTACAGAAGTTATTATTCCCCTTTATTCAGCACTAGTGAGGCCACATCTGGATTACTGCATCTGTTCTGGCCCCCTCACTATAGAAAGGATGTGGACGCATTGAGGAGGGTCCAGCAGAGGGCAACCAAAATGATTAGGGGGCTGGAGCACATGACCTGAGGAGAGGCTGAGGGATTTTGGACTTATTTAGTCTGCAGAAGAGAAGAGGGAGGGGGATTTGGTAGCAGCCTTCAACTTCCTGAAGGGAGGTTACAAAGAGGATAGAAAGAGGCTGTTCTCAGTAGTGACAGATGGCAGAACAAGGAGCAATGGTCTCAAATTACAGTGGGGGGAGCTCTAGGTTGGATATTAGGAAAAACGATGTCACTAGGCAGGTGGTGAAGCACTGGAATGGATTACCTAGGTAGGTGGTGGAATCTCCATCCCTAGAGGTTTTAAGTCCCAGCTTGACAAAACCCTGGCTGGGATGATTTAGTTGGGATTGGTCCTGCTTTGGGCAGGGGGCTGGACTCGATGACCTCCTGAGGTCTCTTCCAGCCCTAGGATTCTATGATTCTATGAGTGACCATTGGCCAGGCACCCAGCTCTGAAGGCAGCACCATGGCTGCAGCAGCACAGAAGTAAGAGTGGCAATATCATACCATGCTGTGCTTCTGCACTGCTGCCTTCAGAGCTGGGAAGTGGTGGCTGTTGATTGAGGACCCCGATCTGCAGGCAGCAACACAGAAATAAAAGTGGCAATATCATGACATGCTATCCTTACTTCTATGCTGCTGCTGATGGTAGCTTTGCCTTCAGAGCTGGGCTCCCAGCCAGCAGCTACCATTGCTCAGCTCTGTAGGTAGTGCTATGACCAGCAGCAGTGTACAAGTAAGGGTATCAGTACTGCAACCCCCACAACAGTAATCTTGTGACCCCTTGCAACTCCTTTTTGCATCAAGACACCTGCAATTACAACACTATGACATTTCAGATTTAAAAAGCTGAAATAATAAAATTTACAATTTTTAAAATCCTAGGGCCGAGAAGTTAACCCAAATGGACTGTGAATTTGGTAGGGCCATAATTAGTAGAGCTACTGACCACATACCTGCTTCTATCTAAATTATTAATTTTGTCATAGTGAAGAGATGGGCCCTGTAAGTTTTCATTTCAAACTAGTTTGTGCCCAAATGAACTGTAGCTACATAATAAAAACTAAAAGTTCATCTGCAGATCAGTTAACTTGAACTGCAAGTACAGGAGAGAAGGAAGCAAACTACTGGACAGAAGAAATTAAAATATGAGATCAAGAAGATGAACTCTCTGTCCTATCTTTTTTTCCCTTTGGAATTCTGATTGACCAAATATTCCTAATCTCATAAACTTTATTGACGACTTTAATAACAAGTATGTTTGGAACTGAATGCCTTGTTAAAAAGACTGAATGGCTGCATCCTTTAAACATGATTCTACAAACTAACTCCAAGCAGGAGGATCGCAGCACGTCTGCCAATCCCTACTGAAGCCAGTGAGCCAGATCTGCAACTGATATAATATATCATGGCATCATTTAAGTCAAAGGAGCCAAGACAAATTATGGTATCTGAGGATCCGGCCCACTTACTCTGCAGATGCCATGGTCTGCTCGCCTAAAACAAGTGGCAGGATTTGGATATAAGCTTCTCTATTTGCCCATAAATCAGGAACAACAGAAGCAATAGTAGTTCAAAATCACCTACATTAACCTGACACTATCTCAGATCAGCTCTAGAGGAACCCTTTATAGGAAAGAAAGATACAAGGTTTTAGATCATTACTAATCCCTTTTGGTCAGTCAGCTCCCAATCGTTTTTAAAAGGCAGTTTCCACATCAGAAATATTACTGCCTTCTCTCACAGCCATGTGTCAAATGCTGCGGGTCCAAATTTGTTTTTCAAAATGGTTATACATATTTTAACACTTTCTGTCTGTCTAGGTATATATTTTGACTGTCAGCAGATTACTGTAGAGGTTATCTGCAATGTTGATGGGATACACTGTCTGATCATTGCACTGTGATCTTATAATTAGAACTTCAGAAATTGCATGAATTCCCTTCATCATTCAACTTTTAGAATAAAAACTTGAGCAACAGTTAAATGTAACAGGCAATAGATTAAGCACTGAACCAACATAGGAACCAACATACTTTCTATGCAGTTTACTCAACATGATGTTACGATTTCTTTTAAGAAAAATCCTTCCTTCCTAAAGAGTATATATGATTTGTCTTAAATAACAGAAAATTATATCTTTTTAGTAATAGTGTAATATTTAGCTTTAAACACTATATTACAATTTTAAGATCTGATTCTGTATTGCTGATCCCTTTAAAACTAAGCAATAAATACTTGTGCCTACCTACCTGTTGCAAGCCTTTAAACTATATATCAATTAAGTAATTACATCTGAATTAATAACCACATAGTAAAAACCAAAATGAACATTAATTTCAGAAAAAATACATTCTTCCCCTCCAATCACCACCACTTTGTCAGAAAAATGTAAAGGAAAATATAGCAATAATTGAAAAACAGAAAGAGAAATAATTGCTTCCATTCTATTCAAACCCACTCCAGGTGCTCTGTTGAGTTTCCAAAAGGAAAATAAATAATTCTTGAGACTAGGAGAAAGCAGGATGTTGAATTATATTAATGTAAACAGTATCTAGTGGCATATCTGTTTATTTCTGGAGGAAAGTTATAAATTCATCAAATAATATTTACAAGTTGCATGTAAGGTCTGATTTTCAGCAAAATAATAGAAGGGAAACAATTCATATTGGGGGCTATTTTAAAAGTGTTCCAATGTGTATATAAAACTTGCTTCCCTACATGTGCCCTGGGAAACAAGCACATTCTTTGCAGTGATAAACAGGTATTTTTACATGCATGTTTGAAACCATATTTTATTTAACTTTAATTTGCCAGGTATCGTTTCTCTTTATAGAGGTATTATGGTGCAGCTTTGACTTAAAATACAGATTATGCTGATATGCCAAGCAAATGAAGGCTTCCTGTGGCAGGTAAGTATGAGTTGTCTAAGGGCTGAAAACAGAGTTGAAGTGTGCTGAATAGAAATCAAACTGCTCAGAATATTCTAAGAATATTCGAAGAAATCGTTCACCCTGGCTGCTACTGTCATCCTCCTCAATCTCTCAGTCAGAAGCTGAAGAGCTCAAACAGGATTTCGGAAAATATTTCTTCTGGTCTTTGTCATTGTTATGAAGTGCGCTCTGCCTACCCAACCCATCAACCAACCAAGCAAACCTCCTCCTCTCCCACCAAATCATTAACCTTTTACCTCCCGAATTCAGCGGATCCTTAGGTTGGATGGAGAGGGTCACCCCCAACACCAGCTCGCCCCATCTACCGCCCCCCTAGGCCACCTCCCCACGTGGCTCTGGGGATGAGTGTGTGTGTGTGTCTACTGCCCTGGCCCTGAGCCTCGCTGCCGGCCAGCAGCTCAGGCGCTTACTCAGCCAGGGGAGCTCCCGGGCTGCGGGCGGGCGGGCGGACAGACAGAGAGAGAGAGAAAGAGGGATAAGAAGCCCCGGCGGGGCTGGTGCAGACCGTCCAGCGCCAGCATGGAGGGGAAGTCCTTGCAGTTGGACACGCCGGTGGAGTCGGTCACGCAGGTCTTCCAGAGGTTGGCCCAGAAGGTGGCGGTGGTGATGACGGTGCCGTCGATGGAGGAGACCTTCCAGTAGTCGGTGGGCAGCGTGGAGGAGACCAGCACCCAGCCCGCGATGGCCAGCAGGAAGGCGAGGATCTGCGCTGCCATGCTGGACATGGGGGATGCTGAGGCGGAGGGGGAGCGGCAGCAACTGCGCAGCGCACCCGGCCCCGCCGGCAGCCGAATCAGCAGAGGGAGCTGCAGCCCCAGAGACCCCACCCCTGCCGCCCGCCGCGCATCCTCCCCCTGCTGCGAAACCCTGGCCGGGGCGAGCGCTGGCCGGCTGGGGCGGGGGGTGAGCGACTCCCTCCTGCGGCGCCGCGTCCCGCCGTTCCCGCTCATCCCCCCGCAGCCGCGTCAGGGACCTTCAGGGGCAGACCCGCTCCCTTCCCCGCCGGCACCTGCGCTGTGTCCTGACTGCGTCCCCGTCCCACAGGGGCCAGGCTGAGCGCCCCAGCGCACCGGCTCCCCGCCAGAGCCTGTAAACACCGACACAGACTCTCCCTCTGTCGCTGCCTAAGGAGAGGCCGGGTGTCTGCGCTGTAACTGGATCTTGACACCTCAGAGCTGTAGCTGGTGCATCTTGCGGGAGCCCCCCCCCCCCTTCCCCATCTCTCCACCGACACCACCTCAACAGAGAGCAAAGCACGGGTTAGCCCAAGGGGTAGGGCCGCTGACCCACAGAAAAATCAGGGGGGCACACAAAAGTGATTTGCAAAAATAAATACCAACATCACTGCGGTGGCCCCCAAATGAGAAGCAGAAAGACACCCCTCACATTCCCCTCCCACACCAGAGCTTGGTAGATTCTGTTGGCCCTGCTAAGCTCTGGGCAGGGTCAAAAAGGAGGGGTTCAGTGTGTGGAAGGGGGGTGATGGGAATTGGGGTTGGGGTCTGGGTGGGAGAGTGCAGTAGCCTCAGGGGCTGGATCCGGCCCCCAGGCTGTATGTTCCCCACTCCTGGTCTAGCCTATGTTTATATGTAGGCCCTGAAGCACCCCAATTCACAAGTGCTGCAAAAACTCGGATGTGGCATCTAGATCTTGCCAAACCCGGTATGTGTTGCTTCACTTATTCCACCAAAAATATGCACCCAACATATTCTGGGGTCAGCGCTCTTCTTTGATATCTGTGTCCTGTATTTGTTGACCACATACCCTCCATTCTTACCATATAAAATGTAGTACCTAAACATCTTCTGCTAATCCACCAGAATAATCCAGATCCCTAAGTACCAGAGTATTGTTGTGTCAGGGTGCATCAGCTTCTGGGGCTACTTGTGCATTGTACTCTCCTTCCTGTCTGGCTTTGTCTGCCTACCTGCTCACATAGCCAGGGCCATGGTCTTTGTTAGTAAGAGGAAACACTAATGTAGTATCGAGCTGCTATAGACAGTGTATCTATTTTGTGAGAATAATGAGTTATTAGATGTGCATATAAATTATTCCACAATAGCCTATTCCTGTCCATTTTGATTAATTTCAGGGTTTTAGAGGTGTTGTAGATCAGTGTTTCTCAACCAGTGGAATGAGTACCCTTAGGGGTACTCGAGAGAAATCTGGGGAGTACGTTACCTCAACTGGCATTTGGAGAAAACTGAATTTTTGTTTTAAGTTTCACAGCACTTTATTATTTTGTACTTTTTACGCCCAAAATTTCATCGCCCGCCGTGCTACAATTAAGTTATTTAAACTAATGTGTTGCAGTGGTAGAAAAAAAATGCATGTCTGAAAACTGTAGATACTGGGGGTACTTACAATTTCTTTTGAAAAGGGGGTACTTTATAAAAAAAGGTTGAGAAACACTGTTGTAGATCCATTGAAACCTTGCTGTCTACCCAGCATTTCTAATCCAGCCTTTGTAATGATTTACTGAGGTTTGGATAGGCAATGCTTAATTGTTGGATGAAAAGGATTGTAAGAGGGTTGTGTGTTTGTTTGTTCAGAGGTTTTATGGGTGAGGGGAGATGGAAGGATGTTGTTCTTTAAAATAGTGAAAGAACCAAGAAGAAATACTTTCCAGAATCAGATTTGTTTCTCTTGTGAATATGAGTGTTTTGGGGAGTGTCACTAGCAGACATAATAGACGGAGGGATTTCTTAATATTTTCTCAGAAGCTTACTTTATATCTGGTGCATTTCAGCTTTATCTGTAGCAATAGTGCTAACTGAGGGGGCATAATGTAAGTGTCATTTGCCTTTGCTCAAAATCCCTGTGGCTATGGAGCCATTTTTAAGCAGAGGTCCTGTACTGATCACTACAGCTGCTGCTGGAGTAGACTGAAGTGACACTCCGGGTGGTCACAATGCCACTGTAATCTCACCTGGCTGCCCCTCTGTGAAGATGGGAGCGGGAGGGCAGGTGAACCAAACAGTGTTGCTATCTGGCATGTGGGCAGCCTGTTCCTGTACTGTGCAGCAGAGCGCAGGGGAATCCACAGAGTATTTGACTCCCAGTGGCACTTGCTCATGCACTGCGTGATTAATAGAAATGGGAGACTCCCTGGTCCAGGGATATCCAAGGGAAGTCAAATGGGGACCAGGGTCCCTGCTGTAGGGAGAGGGGAGGAGCAGGGAACAGAATTTGCCAAACCCACAAGAAATATCTGAACTGGTGCCAAAGGTTTTTAGCTGTTTCACAAGCCTTACTTACCTGCTATGGGAAACAAGAGCATTCCTATGCTCGAAATAGCAAACTAATCTGTATTTTAATTAAATGTATGGATATGTATTTCTACATACAGGTTGAACCTCTCTAGTCCGGCACCCTCAGGACCTGACTGGTGCTGAACCAGAGAATTTGCCGAACCACAGAAGGTCAGTATTGTCCAGCAGCGTTACCAACACTTCCTCTGCTTACTGGGTTCTTAGAAGACATTTAAGGGCAAATTAGAGCTAAATAACAGCACAGAACACCGAGAGCCAGGACTGGTGGCTGTAAACTGTGGGAAACTTGGCCATACCTATGAAAAGTGGACATCTGGCTAACTAAAATCATCTGGACCATGGATGTTGCTGGACCAGAGAGTGCCGGACTAGAAAGGTTCAACCTGTATTACCATACACAATGCACACAAAGAGTAATAATTCTTGTCAATCTACATTTGAATAAAATATTTCAAACGTTGCATGTAAAATATGTCTTAATCAGCCATGACAAATGGACATGGCAAAATTAAGATACATGTATTCATAGAAACATTTTTAAAATGACTCCCAATTTGAATTTGTTTCATTTCTGTTACTGATTTTTCTGAAAATAAGAATTTAGATGCCATACATTTTAATATTGTTGCCTCAACTTTTTAGTTATGTGTTGAACTTGTAACTTTCTACCTGCAACTTTTAAAATTAACAGAATGATATTCCACAAGACACCGTTTACATTAATAACATTCTACATCCTGGTTTCTCTTGTGGTCAGTAGTTATTTATTTTCCATTTGAAAGCTCAACAATGCCTTTGGAGTTGACATGAAAAGAACACAAGTTAATTAGTCTTTTCTCTTATTTGTATTGAAACAATTGTTACATTATCGTTTATGTTTTTGCCAAACAGGTTGTGGTTGGAGGGGAAGAACAAGCCTTGACGTAATTTTTTTTGTAGTGAGTGTTCTTTTGCTTCTTACCAAGTGGTTATTAACATTAACATAATTACTTCATTGATATATAGCCGTTTTAAAAGCCTGCAACAGTTAGATATACAAGCACGTTTCAGAAAGCCTCTGAAGGAGTGCACTCTGTTGCCAGTTTCTCACTCTACTGATGGTCTAGAGGGTATTATCAAGATCTATGTCCACAGCTACTGATACAGTGGTTCCTGAATGCCCTTGACTTTGTCCTTCCAGGTCACTGTGGGTCACTTGCAGCAGAGGAAAGAAGAGGGAAGGAATAGCAGTGGAGGAAATCCCAGATGAAGTCTGGTCAATGTGCTGTAAATAATTTTAAAAACTCTCGTTTGGATGTTGTGCAAGAGAGGGTAAGTTTTGTCTCCATTGTAGTTCTGCAGTGATATACACATTTGAATTGTTTTGGGTTGTGGGTAGCTTGGTTAATCCAACCTGCCCGAACTTGGAAACTGAATGGTGGTTTTCTTTTTTTCTAGTTGTGAGGAATTTGCTGATTACTGTGTTGATAAAATGGTTTGGTGGAGATACAGCGTGTTGAATTCATGGGAGCAGGTTAACATCTGATCATTCTCCGTGTTTCAGTCAGTTTTTCTCACTGGAGGGGTGAAGTGCTCAGGGTCCTTTAGGCCTCTTCCTGTGCTTTGGAACTATGTCCTTACTGGCAGGTGAAGGCCAAGAGTGAGAGAGCAGGTACTTTGATGGTAGAAGCAATCATTGCTTTATTGTGTGACGGATGGATGCTAGATGTATTTAAAAAAAGCGTCAGTAATACCTTTACATGTTTCTGAAGATCTCACCAACACATTATTAGTAATCTCCTGATTGTGGGAGTTCTTCATTAAGAATATGGCGAAGAAGCAGCTATGTCAATATTGACAGTAGTCCGATTTTCTTGTTGCTGGTAAATCTGGATTTAGACCAGGAGGTGGTACAGAAACTGCAGGCACTGGTTAATAATCTCCTCCTGGCTATAGATGAACATAATGGATCTGATTCTTCTGTATACTAGTATCTCACTCTAGCAGAGTAAATAGGCCCCAAAGTGAGTGTAAATGTCAATTTTCCATCTATTAAGTTCTGTTTAACACTAATAGTGAAATGAGAACCAGACCCACTGTGCCCGTGCTGATTTTATTGGATCTGTCCCTTGTCTTTGATGTGGTTGATCATGAGGCACTGATGACTGACAATGTCCTGACTGAGCAGAAATAGATGGAACTGCTTTGAAACAGCTTTGCTTCTTAATATGAGAGAAACCAGAGGGTGATTTTTCATCAATCCCAAAAACTCTCTCATGCTGGAAACGGCAGGGTTCTGCTGCATTGTACATCCATTTTTTTCAATGTGTGTATTAGACCCTGAGGAAGGTTAGTAAAGAGATTGTGGGCGACAGTGTCTGTACCAGGTGAACGTCACCAGCTGTATATCTCCTTACAGCTGATTCCTTTGGAGCAGGGGAATGGATGACCCAGCAGATTGGGTCCTGAATGAGTACCAGCTGGTTGAGGCTCAATGTGACCAAAGCTGAGATAACATTTTTAGGATTGGGACTGCAACTGAAGAGTTGGATAGAATTATAGCAGCATGGCAAACTGACTGTGCAGCCATTGAGAATCAATTCACCACTGAGTGGTCTTGTTTGACCCAAAGTTACTACTATGTGCCCAGTACCAGCCCTGACGATATGATGTACTCCTGAAGAACACGTTTCCATCTGTTCCTGATAAATTGTGTGACTTTGTGGCAGGGATATGCTCCACTCTTGACTCTTTAAAGAGAAGCAAACTATTTTGAGACCTTCAAGTAAAACACTCAGAACACTCCACTTGATGGGACAATTTTAAGACCTTTCAGAAGCTGTAGCTAGTCCAGAATGTGGCAGCCTAATTATTAAAGGCAATTTGCATCCTTTGGTGTAAGTAATTAGTTTTTTTCTGGACATTTGTAAGAAACAATTTCCCTCTGTTCTATTGAACGTTCTATTTTACACGACATTTCTTTTAATAAAAAATATTTAGGGATAATATTCAGAGAAATGTCATTATTTTTGTCTGTTTAAAAATAGAGACAATGGCTGAGACAATCTTAATTATATTGGTGTAAATCCAGAGTCATATCACTGAGATTGGCAGGCTACTCATTAGCATTTCTTCCTTGTGTTCCCTTTCTCCCCAAACTGAGGAGTTGGGAGGCATTTGCAACAGGCATCCCTCCCACTGATGTTTGTATTTTTCACACATTGCTCCTTAGTACATTTCTTTTTATCCCCTTGTCACTTCTTCAGATATCGTTTTCTAAAGTCACAAATCGTCCAACTGCAATCTTTCCAAATTCTAACTGTGACTAATCTCTTCCCCCACAGTTATTCCTAGGTACAATCGGGAATGGATTGGGTTCAGTGCCCTAAAATCCAGGTATTCTTTTCTCTTGTCCATCTGCCTGTGTCATCCTCCCATCATGGTT